GTTCGCAGAACCGAGCCAAAATCTCAGGATGTTTACCTGCGTTTGCTCGTCAAGCTGTACCGCTTCCTCCAGCGCCGTACGATCAAGAAGTTCAACCGCATCATCCTGAAGCGTTTGTTTATGAGAAAGATCAATCGGCCACCACTATCTCTGCAGCGCATCGCACGTTTCTTCAAGGCTGCCAACCAGCCCGAGTCCACCGTTGTGGTTGTCGGCACAGTCACCGATGATGCCCGTCTGTTGGTTCCTAAGCTGACCCTGTGCGCCCTGCACGTTACCCAGACGGCTAGGGAGCGCATCCTGAAGGCTGGCGGCGAGGTCCTGACCTTCGACCAGTTGGCCCTGAAGTCGCCTACCGGCAAGAACACCATGCTGCTGCAGGGTAAGCGCACTGCTCGCACCGCCTGCAAGCACTTCGGCAAGACTCCTGGTGTGCCCCACTCGCATACACGCCCCTATGTCCGCTCCAAGGGACGCAAGTTCGAGCGTGCTCGTGGTCGTCGCTCCAGCTGCGGTTACAAGAAGTAAGCAACTACATCGTGGACGGCCGTCGTCACTTTTTGGTAAAGATATTCATTTGTCAGGCTGAGGAGGAAACTAGCCGTCGCACTCGTTGCGGCAATAAAGAATTTTTTTTATTCCACAAACCTAATATACCCCAGTACTAATTTTGAGTATTGGGTATAAAAATAGGAAAAGGAAGTAGAGTAGAAGAGTAAAAGAATAAAATTAGAATAAGCTAAAAAAACTACCTATTAATTCAACTGTATGGGGTAAAGGGGATTTCGTTTTGATTTGAGTGCAAGTGTCAGTATACATATGTATGTAAGTACAAAAAAAAATTCTTGATACCTCACAAAAATTTCTTAGCTAGCATCGAGAAACAACAACAAAACAGTTAGTAAATAAAAACGAAAAAAGTCATTTCAATTATCGGTTCTGCCGATAATGACAATTTTCTAAAATATACTTGTTGTACTGTCAGTCAATGACCGTCAATCGAGCGCTCAAGTTTTGGAGAGGGGCTCAGCTGATCACGCAGCACAGCCAAGTTTCGAATTTCGAAGAAGAAAATTAAAACGAAGTTTAAGCGCAGGATTTTCAGAATGTAAGTAATTTAAGTTAAGGGAAATTGATAACATTTAAAGAGGGTAGAGTTACGGTGTTAGTAACGTATTTAAATGTTAGCTATTAATGAAAAAATTTATAATGTCTCCTTAAACTTTGATCTTGATCTCCGATACACAGCCCCTGTATTAGCGAGCCCTGAAGAAAAGGGATCATAAAGAGTAGAAAAAGATGGCAGATTGTGACCAAGGAAGGGTGGGCGTGGTCCTCCATTCCAGCTGAGGACAACCTTTAATACGTTCGTGTCGCGTGCGTGTGTATATGTGTAAGTGATGTCTAATGGCCAAAAGTTTTGTTTCTATCCGGTTCTGTGATTGTCCTTGTACATGCCTTCAAGTTTTCTTGACGCTCTTTTTATATAAAAAAAAAAAGTCGTAGGTCTCAGAATAGACAAAAAAAAGAACACCACCAGGTGTACCACCCGGCTACCACCAGTTGCCGGCATGATAGCGTGCTGGTCGACCTCTGAGGAAAACATCAGTCCTACCCATCGTTGTCCACTACAACAATGATCATAATAAATATTTTTATATTTGGCGCCCAACGTGGAGTCTCAACGTAGATGTATTAACGTACATAATACGAGTGTGGCTCACTTTTCATTACTGATGGCCAAGTAATTTCCTTTCATGTTTCACGATCAACCATTCAGATAAAAAAATCAGTTGACGGTTTTGTGCACTGCTTAGTGTAACAAAAACAATGTGGCTGAACTTATAAATTTCCTTCAGGTGGAGGCCTCTTAGTGACTTCTACCTGACCAGGTCGGATGTGGACTTGAATGATCTAACTATTTTTAATGAGTTTTGGCGGCTATGTGCAGTGATACGGAATACAGCGGAATTGGCTCTAACTAGTTAATCGTTGGCCAAATCTATCGTAGTTTAAGCTCGAACTCATTTTTCTAACTAATAGTGTAAGCTTCGCCCACGGAAGTCCGATATCAAACGCATAGGAAATGCCGGCTAGTCGATTAGATAGATCAGACGATGAAACGGAGGCTGCGCCTCCAAAGTGCACTTTATGTTTGAAGGAACTAGCTGAAGCGGATAAATATGTGACAACCATAAGTGCAACCATGATTTTCACAAGTCCTGTATAAAGACCCATTTTATGGCATTAAACACTTACCCAACTTGTCAAACTCAGGTCATCGCCACAAAGACTTTTCAACCCGTTCAGTTACCTTCAAGAACGCGATCGTTTTGGGATCCCCGCAAACAAGGTCACATTATGAATAACTGGAAACTTCGGTTCAATGGAGCTTCTGATAGTCTAAATGTGGACCCATCAAACCCTTGAAGGGAATTTCGCCCTATTATGCAGCAAGGTTCCATTAGACAAATGTTAAGAGACAGGAAACAAAAAGAAAATGAGTCGTTTGAGGTATTTCTTGAATCTATTTATAAGCTTACTGACCGACTAGATCAGCCGCTATCGGAAAAGACCTTGATAGAAATTGTTCGACGAAATCTACGGCCGGAGATCCAGCTCGAAATTTTAAATATTCCGATAAATTTGATCGAAACGTTGAAGGAAATCTGTAGAAAAAGAGAATGTTTCTTGGAAGAGGTGCAACGTATGCACGGATATCAAAAGTCAGGACCTTTCAAAAAGCAAGTCGCCAAGGAAGTGATCAGTGATGAGGCAACTGAATTTTCAGAGGGTGAAGCGAATGAGGAAATAGGGGCAATGAGGGATATAGATACCAGGACTGTGTAGCGAAGCGGAAGATATTTTGCTACGGTTGTGGTATCCCAAATACTTATAAACCGTCCAGCCAAAGGTGTCAAAAAAACCGACGAAGGAGAATTAGAAGCAGAGAGTCGCACGGATGGATTGGGAAAGATGCCCGAAACGGCACAAGTAGCGGAACCTTTGTACTGGCATAGAAGGATAGTGTTCGGGCCAGCCGCCGAAGATTGAATTAGGAAGTAAATTAAAGCATTGTAATTGTTATTGTATGAGCAGAGTGAGCCGCCTATGTTTTGCAAGCGTTGACGTTCTGCAGACCTGCTGCGCTCTCCCGCTAAAGGGGCTCTCTGCCGCCACCACTTCGGCAATCACTTTTGATCTGCAACCTTCGTCTTTTGGTTTATTTATTTAGTTATGACCCCTCTGCGCATGGGTTGCATACCTCTTACCTATCTGGACCTAGAAAGCAATTGGCTTCAGCTCAGCCACAAAAATCAAATAAATATTATAAAGTTTAACCAAGTTCTCTTTTTATTTTGGAAATTAATAGGTGCCAAAAAAGCTTGGCATCTCAAACATTGGTGACCCCCCGACGTGATATAAAAGCATTGCTTAATCGCGTTCAGTTTAAAACACATTTATTGTAAAATATAGTTTACCTACCAACAAAAACATTTAGGTTAGGTTAGGTTGACCCGGACGGCCCTCAGAGGGGGCCCACATAGGCCAGTATGGCCCTTAGTTGTCCGGATAGGGGGGGTATGAACCGTCGTGGCAGTGTTTTAGGGGGTTTTGAAGTCCTCGAGGATCGAGGTATTTTTCGCATAGGCCAGTAGTTGCTGTGGCGTCCTCTTGGAGGCATCTTCCAGTGATGCCAGCACTGGCGCGCCCAAGTACTTCCTCCTTGCCCTTAAGAGAGCAGGACAGTTGCAGATGAGATGTTCTAGGGTTTCGGTTGCCCCAGGTTCGTCACATTTCCTACAACTGTCTCTGTTTGTGATTCCTAGCTTAGTTGCATGCGCCGCAGCCGGGCAGTGTCCCGTTAATATTCCCACTAATAATCTGCAGTCCTTCCGTGGTAGGTGCAGCAGGTAGTGGCTGAGTTTGTCATTGCGGTTCTGCAGGCGGTGGTACTCCTCCACCTACTTTCGGCTTGTGACCCGGCCTGCTTTTCTAGATCGCTTTGCAGCGTTCTGAGGGAGACAGGCACGTTCTCGGTTCTCGTATTCGCCAGCCCGACGCCTTCCTTAGCTAGTACGTCCGCCGTCTCGTTTCCTTCGATGCCCTGGTGGCTGGGAATCCAGTAGATCCGCACTGACTTTGTCGTGCTTAGGGTATCTAGTGCCTCCCTGCTCGCCAAGACATTTCTGGAACTGACTGCCCACAAAGTCAGCGCATACCGTTGCCCACGGTTCTTCCGGCACCTGTGTCAACATTTCCGCTGCTTGTAGCTGACTTGGCTTAAAGCGAAGACATAGTTCACACTTCCGCACGTAGGCCCTAACGTCCCTGTACATCCCTGGCCAGTTATATCTTGCCGCCACCCGTGCCGCGGTTCTCCTCCCGCCGGCGTGGCCTGCTTCCGGGTTATCGTGGCTTTCCTTTAAAACCCTTTCCCGGGCATCTTTTGCCACACATAGTTTCCACGAGGCGACCTCTTCGCTTCCTGCCCGGTGAGGAATGTGTCGATACAAGTTTCCCCCCTTCTCCACATAGTCGGGGTACTTCGAGTATTCCTTTCTGATCTTTTCTACCATGCCCTCTAACCACTTGCAGGGCGGCTCGTTCACCGGTTGTGTTCAGTATGTAGTCCATTATTGATTTCGCGTTTAATTGACGAAAGTCCACGCACAATCTCCACTTGCCATTTTTCTTCTTTACCATCACTATAGGCGAACTGTAGGGGCTCCTTGACGGCTCTATGCATCCCATTTCTAGTAGTCCACTTTCTGGTTAATCTCGGCCTGCATTTTTGGGTTCTTCGGGTAATATCTTTGCTTAATCGGTTGCGGGTCACTCATGGTGATTGTGTGCACCGCCACATTAGACACCCCCTCGATTTTGGAAAACGCCTCCCTCGCGCTATTGATGCTGATCAAGAATATATATACTTTATGGGGTCGGAAACGATTCCTTCTGGACGTTACACAAATCATTTTTCTTTTTCCGGTCGCGAAATGGGTATTGATATCAACCACAGATACGATCGTAAGGTTCGCAGAACCGAGCCGAAATCTCAGGATGTTTACCTGCGTTTGCTCGTCAAGCTGTACCGCTTCCTCCAGCGCCGTACGATCAAGAAGTTCAACCGCATCATCCTGAAGCGTTTGTTTATGAGAAAGATCAATCGGCCACCACTATCTCTGCAGCGCATCGCACGTTTCTTCAAGGCTGCCAACCAGCCCGAGTCCACCGTTGTGGTTGTCGGCACAGTCACCGATGATGCCCGTCTGTTGGTTCCTAAGCTGACCCTGTGCGCCCTGCACGTTACCCAGACGGCTAGGGAGCGCATCCTGAAGGCTGGCGGCGAGGTCCTGACCTTCGACCAGTTGGCCCTGAAGTCGCCTACCGGCAAGAACACCATGCTGCTGCAGGGTAAGCGCACTGCTCGCACCGCCTGCAAGCACTTCGGCAAGACTCCTGGTGTGCCCCACTCGCATACACGCCCCTATGTCCGCTCCAAGGGACGCAAGTTCGAGCGTGCTCGTGGTCGTCGCTCCAGCTGCGGTTACAAGAAGTAAGCAACTACATCGTGGACGGCCGTCGTCACTTTTTGGTAAAGATATTCATTTGTCAGGCTGAGGAGGAAACTAGCCGTCGCACTCGTTGCGGCAATAAAGAATTTTTTTTATTCCACAAACCTAATATACCCCAGTACTAATTTTGAGTATTGGGTATAAAAATAGGAAAAGGAAGTAGAGTAGAAGAGTAAAAGTATAAAATTAGAATAAGCTAAAAAAACTACCTATTAATTCAACTGTATGGGGTAAAGGGGATTTCGTTTTGATTTGAGTGCAAGTGTCAGTATACATATGTATGTAAGTACAAAAAAAAATTCTTGATACCTCACAAAAATTTCTTAGCTAGCATCGAGAAACAACAACAAAACAGTTAGTAAATAAAAACGAAAAAAGTCATTTCAATAATCGGTTCTGCCGATAATGACAATTTTCTAAAATATACTTGTTGTACTGTCAGTCAATGACCGTCAATCGAGCGCTCAAGATTTGGAGAGGGGCTCAGCTGATCACGCAGCACAGCCAAGTTTCGAATTTCGAAGAAGAAAATTAAAACGAAGTTTAAGCGCAGGATTTTCAGAATGTAAGTAATTTAAGTTAAGGGAAATTGATAACATTTAAAGAGGGTAGAGTTACGGTGTTAGTAACGTATTTAAATGTTAGCTATTAATGAAAAAATTTATAATGTCTCCTTAAACTTTGATCTTGATCTCCGATACACAGCCCCTGTATTAGCGAGCCCTGAAGAAAAGGGATCATAAAGAGTAGAAAAAGATGGCAGATTGTGACCAAGGAAGGGTGGGCGTGGTCCTCCATTCCAGCTGAGGACAACCTTTAATACGTTCGTGTCGCGTGCGTGTGTATATGTGTAAGTGATGTCTAATGGCCAAAAGTTTTGTTTCTCTCCGGTTCTGTGATTGTCCTTGTACATGTCTTCAAGTTTTCTTGACGCTCTTTTTATATAAAAAAAAAAAAGTCGTAGGTCTCAGAATAGACAAAAAAAAGAACACCACCAGGTGTACCACCCGGCTACCACCAGTTGCCGGCATGATAGCGTGCTGGTCGACCTCTGAGGAAAACATCAGTCCTACCCATCGTTGTCCACAACAACAATGATCATAATAAATATTTTTATATTTGGCGCCCAATGTGGAGTCTCAACGTAGATGTATTAACGTACATAATACGAGTGTGGCTCACTTTTCATTACTGATGGCCAAGTAATTTCCTTTCATGTTTCACGATCAACCATTCAGATAAAAAAATCAGTTGACGGTTTTGTGCACTGCTTAGTGTAACAAAAACAATGTGGCTGAACTTATAAATTTCCTTCAGGTGGAGGCCTCTTAGTGACTTCTACCTGACCAGGTCGGATGTGGACTTGAATGATCTAACTATTTTTAATGAGTTTTGGCGGCTATGTGCAGTGATACGGAATACAGCGGAATTGGCTCTAACTAGTTAATCGTTGGCCAAATCTATCGTAGTTTAAGCTCGAACTCATTTTTCTAACTAATAGTGTAAGCTTCGCCCACGGAAGTCCGATATCAAACGCATAGGAAATGCCGGCTAGTCGATTAGATAGATCAGACGATGAAACGGAGGCTGCGCCTCCAAAGTGCACTTTATGTTTGAAGGAACTAGCTGAAGCGGATAAATATGTGACAACCATAAGTGCAACCATGATTTTCACAAGTCCTGTATAAAGACCCATTTTATGGCATTAAACACTTACCCAACTTGTCAAACTCAGGTCATCGCCACAAAGACTTTTCAACCCGTTCAGTTACCTTCAAGAACGCGATCGTTTTGGGATCCCCGCAAACAAGGTCACATTATGAATAACTGGAAACTTCGGTTCAATGGAGCTTCTGATAGTCTAAATGTGGACCCATCAAACCCTTGAAGGGAATTTCGCCCTATTATGCAGCAAGGTTCCATTAGACAAATGTTAAGAGACAGGAAACAAAAAGAAAATGAGTCGTTTGAGGTATTTCTTGAATCTATTTATAAGCTTACTGACCGACTAGATCAGCCGCTATCGGAAAAGACCTTGATAGAAATTGTTCGACGAAATCTACGGCCGGAGATCCAGCTCGAAATTTTAAATATTCCGATAAATTTGATCGAAACGTTGAAGGAAATCTGTAGAAAAAGAGAATGTTTCTTGGAAGAGGTGCAACGTATGCACGGATATCAAAAGTCAGGATCTTTCAAAAAGCAAGTCGCCAAGGAAGTGATCAGTGATGAGGCAACTGAATTTTCAGAGGGTGAAGCGAATGAGGAAATAGGGGCAATGAGGGATATAGATACCAGGACTGTGTAGCGAAGCGGAAGATATTTTGCTACGGTTGTGGTATCCCAAATACTTATAAACCGTCCAGCCAAAGGTGTCAAAAAAACCGACGAAGGAGAATTAGAAGCAGAGAGTCGCACGGATGGATTGGGAAAGATGCCCGAAACGGCACAAGTAGCGGAACCTTTGTACTGGCATAGAAGGATAGTGTTCGGGCCAGCCGCCGAAGATTGAATTAGGAAGTAAATTAAAGCATTGTAATTGTTATTGTATGAGCAGAGTGAGCCGCCTATGTTTTGCAAGCGTTGACGTTCTGCAGACCTGCTGCGCTCTCCCGCTAAAGGGGCTCTCTGCCGCCACCACTTCGGCAATCACTTTTGATCTGCAACCTTCGTCTTTTGGTTTATTTATTTAGTTATGACCCCTCTGCGCATGGGTTGCATACCTCTTACCTATCTGGACCTAGAAAGCAATTGGCTTCAGCTCAGCCACAAAAATCAAATAAATATTATAAAGTTTAACCAAGTTCTCTTTTTATTTTGGAAATTAATAGGTGCCAAAAAAGCTTGGCATCTCAAACATTGGTGACCCCCCGACGTGATATAAAAGCATTGCTTAATCGCGTTCAGTTTAAAACACATTTATTGTAAAATATAGTTTACCGACCAACAAAAACATTTAGGTTAGGTTAGGTTGACCCGGACGGCCCTCAGAGGGGGCCCACATAGGCCAGTATGGCCCTTAGTTGTCCGGATAGGGGGGGTATGAACCGTCGTGGCAGTGTTTTAGGGGGTTTTGAAGTCCTCGAGGATCGAGGTATTTTTCGCATAGGCCAGTAGTTGCTGTGGCGTCCTCTTGGAGGCATCTTCCAGTGATGCCAGCACTGGCGCGCCCAAGTACTTCCTCCTTGCCCTTAAGAGAGCAGGACAGTTGCAGATGAGATGTTCTAGGGTTTCGGTTGCCCCAGGTTCGTCACATTTCCTACAACTGTCTCTGTTTGTGATTCCTAGCTTAGTTGCATGCGCCGCAGCCGGGCAGTGTCCCGTTAATATTCCCACTAATAATCTGCAGTCCTTCCGTGGTAGGTGCAGCAGGTAGTGGCTGAGTTTGTCATTGCGGTTCTGCAGGCGGTGGTACTCCTCCACCTACTTTCGGCTTGTGACCCGGCCTGCTTTTCTAGATCGCTTTGCAGCGTTCTGAGGGAGACAGGCACGTTCTCGGTTATCGTATTCGCCAGCCCGACGCCTTCCTTAGCTAGTACGTCCGCCGTCTCGTTTCCTTCGATGCCCTGGTGGCTGGGAATCCAGTAGATCCGCACTGACTTTGTCGTGCTTAGGGTATCTAGTGCCTCCCTGCTCGCCAAGACATTTCTGGAACTGACTGCCCACAAAGTCAGCGCATACCGTTGCCCACGGTTCTTCCGGCACCTGTGTCAACATTTCCGCTGCTTGTAGCTGTCTTGGCTTAAAGCGAAGACATAGTTCACACTTCCGCACGTAGGCCCTAACGTCCCTGTACATCCCTGGCCAGTTATATCTTGCCGCCACCCGTGCCGCGGTTCTCCTCCCGACGGCGTGGCCTGCTTCCGGGTTATCGTGGCTTTCCTTTAAAACCCTTTCCCGGGCATCTTTTGCCACACATAGTTTCCACGAGGCGACCTCTTCGCTTCCTGCCCGGTGAGGAATGTGTCGATACAAGTTTCCCCCCTTCTCCACATAGTCGGGGTACTTCGAGGATTCCTTTCTGATCTTTTCTACCAAGCCCTCTAACCACTTGCAGGGCGGCTCGTTCACCGGTTGTGTTCAGTATGTAGTCCATTATTGATTTCGCGTTTAATTGACGAAAGTCCACGCACAATCTCCACTTGCCATTTTTATACCCGATACTCAAAATGAGTATTGGGGTATATTAGATTTGTGGTAAAAGTGGATGTGTGTAACGTCCAGAAGGAATCGTTTCCGACCCTATAAAGTATATATATTCTTGATCAGCATCAATAGCCGAGTCGATTGAGCCCTGTCTGTCTGTCCGTCCGTCCGTCTGTCCGTCTGTCCGTCCCCTTCAGCGCCTAATGCTCAAAGACTATAAGAGCTAGAGCAACGATGTTTTGGATCCAGACTTCTGTGATATGTCACTGCTACAAAAATATTTCAAAACTTTGCCCCGCCCACTTCCGCCCCCACAAAGGGCGAAAATCTGTGGCAGAATCGTAGAAGATGACTATATCTTCTAGAGTGCAAAATCTGAACCAGATCGTATAATTATTACAGCCAGAATCACGAAAACAATTTCACTCTTTCTCGCTCTGTCTCACTCTAACACACAGGTTTCATGGTCGGTTTTGCCAATTGCAAAATATGAGTTCAAGGATCTCAGAACCTATAAAAGCCAGAGCAACCAAATTTGGTATCCACACTCCTGTGATATCGGACCGAGACCGTTTCCTGTCCAAATTTCGCCACACCCCCTTCCGCCCCCGCAAAGGACGAAAATCTGAGGCAACCACAAATCTCAGAGACTATTAAGGCTAGAGTAACCAAATTTGGTACACACACTCCTTTAAGATGTCACTATAAAACGTATATCTCAGAATTTCGCCCCACCCCCATCCGCCCCCACAAAGGACGAAAATCTGTTGCATCCACAATATTGCAGATTCGAGAAAACTAAAAACGCAGAATCATAGATAATGACCATATCTATTAGATTGCTGAATCTG